GTGTGAAATGATGAGGTGAGAAAGAGAGGCCTGGGTAACACCGGAAGCATAACCGGTGCTTTTTGTGAACGCCTAGAGCTGGGGAAGGGAGGAGGGCATGTGCAGCTGGGAATAAAGGCCCATGTGTGAGGGTGTCGGGGACTTCCTGCATCCTGGCTTGTATTTCTAGGGTTTCACTGAGTCTACGGCCCCCTTTGTGAAGTTTCTCTGGGCCTGGACCTCTCTGGGTCCAGAGGTCCCTTGGGGTAGTCTTCCTGGGACCTGTAGGGGTAAACTGTACACTGTTCCCCAGGGCTGGGGGAGCAGCAGTGGCAGGGCCCGAAGGCTCTCCAGGGAGGATGAGGAGAGGCAGGGGCTGTGCTCTAATTCTGGGCTTCTCATCTGTCAGGCCAAGAGGTACCCAGCCAAGCAGATACCCTGATCTTTGACCCAGCAGGTGTCAGAGGAAGATGGAGGGGAAACAGCTTCCCCCTCCTCACATCTGGCTGTCTTTGCTCACAGGCCCCTCTGTGGCTCCATTTTGGGAAGCCCTCTGGGTAGATTCTCTAAGATAGCCCCTTCTTTCTCTCCTCTGTGTCCATCTCCCTCCAGTCCTGAGCCCTAGACAGGCTGGTTAATGGTACTGTCAGGAGAGGCAGTGGCGCAGGGGGGCCACGTGCACAGCAGGCAGAATAGATATCTGACCCAGTCTTGACTCAATTACTTACTTACTAACCGTGTGTCCTTGGGTGAGCTTTTTCTTCTCACTGTACGGCGACAGAGTTCTTACGGGTGCCGACATCATTCACTTGCCTTGTCCCTGTGCATGCTTCAGGTAATGAGGGAGAGAAGACCTGTTGGTAACCATCAGCCTGCAAATAGGCCAGGCTGGCGAGTAGGAGTAAGGCCTGACCAGCATGGGGCCTGAGACCACTGAACAGACCCCAGGGATCCTAGATTCCCAGCCTGCCAGGGCTGAAGAGGGCTTTACCATTGAATGCATTTCCCCCACTCTCTCGTTTTCCAGATGGTAAAACTGAAGCTTACAGTGTCAGTAATTGTTTGAGGCCCTCCAGTGAGGGCAGTGGCAGAGCTGGGATTAAGATTTCCATGCCTTGGATGTACAATGACTAATTGTGCCTTAGGTTCCACAGTGCCCCATATAAAAGTCTTGCTTTTCCACAATCAATTCTCAGGGACACAGACAAAATCTTTGACAATTGCAAACTTTTCTCCACTTATCATGCTGTTATACCTATGGGCCCCGTTGTGAGGAGTTGGGCTTCCTTTACACTGAGTTGTAATCCATACTGAAGGCTGCCATCCACCGCTTCCAAGAATATATCCGGGACACAGTTAATGTCCGTCCCTGTCTGCCCTTGAGGCAGTGAGCCCCTTGAAGGCCTCTCCATGTCCCTGAGGGCTAGCACAAAGCCTGGCATATGCACTGGGAGCTGAACTTGGATGGCACTTCCTTGCCTTTCTAGGCCTCACACGTTTTCTGCCTCTGACAGCCTGCAGTTTTATCACTTTCTCTTGCTGTCTATCAGTGGAACATAGCTGGGTTCTCCTTCTCCGATGAGTTTCTGCTACACAGGTTTGGGCTTTTTTTTTTAATAGTTTTATTGGCATATAATTAACATATCATACAATTTAATCATTCAATCATATCAAGAAGAGTTGCACAATCATTACCACAGTCGATTTCAGAACATTTTCTCATATTCATTATAATCAGCTCTCCTGCCATGCCCTTAGATAATTGTTAATCCAGTTACTTTCTCTATATATTTACCTATCCTGGATTTCATATACAGAAAATCTTACAAGACACAAATAAGCATACAAACAAAAACCCCAACAACAATGATAAAACAAAACAGAAACACCTCAATCGAAAAGAAAGCAGAAACTATTGAAAACTGAAACAACTTTAAAATGGGTAAAAAGGGAGCTCAAATGATAAGGTATTTCATTTCAACCTGACTACATCTGCCACAATGAACTATACAATGCTCTCTGTCTGACAGCAAAGCTAGTCCCATCCCTGGACTGTGGTCAGAGAGGATTTACTGAAGGCATAATCCATGAGGGAACCCTGCAAATCGATTTTGAGCTTCCACTAACTGTTGTCCATAGCCTTCTGCAACCTGGGTATTCAGAATTTAAGCTCTGATACTGTTCACTCCTTCAGATTTAGATTTTATTATTTAAAATCCTTGGATCACACCTGCTGGTGTACTTCAGGTTTAGGCTGTCACAGGTTTTACTGTAGTAAATGTGTGGTCAATGTGTGCTGCGTGGAGGGTGGGGAGGTGTTTGGGAGGCCCTGTGTCATGACCTTTCCTCCCTAGAATTGCCCCAGACAAAGAGGGTGCGGGGTGAAGGACACCAGGGGATGAGAGGAGGTGCTATGGGGAGATGTGGGCCTCTGGCCTCTGGTTTCACATGGAGAGCTCTCCAGACTTCTCACACTGACGTGCACTATCCACAGTTATAGCTCTCTGCTTCTCCACACTCCTCCCTTCACTCCAGCTTCACTCCTCCCGGGCTGGCTGTCCCGAGGGGCAAGTCTGGCTTTGGAATCAGGGCCCTCTTTCCTGGTTCCATTTTATTATTGCAGGAGCCTCAAGAGGCAGGCTGGGTGGGGATGACCTAGCTCTGATTTGTAGTCAGGGGACCTTCAGGCTCCAAGGGGGCCGTGTCCAAGTTCAGACAGGGTTCAGTAATAATGAAGCGTGGGAGAGGACACGGACAGGCTTCTGAACCAGTGACAGGCCAGGTTTCCCCTGGGGACTACTCTAGGCAGATGAGGCAGAAGTGATCCCAGTCTGTCTGTGAGGTGAGATGGAGAGGGTCCTAGAATTGGGCCCTCTGCACCTCTGCAGTCTTAAACATTGCTCACTACAGTGTCCTCCAGGTTCATCCACTCTAGGAGCTGTTTTGAAGATTCATCATTCTTATTTATCCCAGTATGTGTATGTACCCAAATTGATTTCTCCATTCTGCCACTGATGGGCCATTAGGTTGTTTTCCTCTTTCTGTGACTGAACAGAGCTGCGGCGACGCACGTGGGTGTTCGTCCTTCTGCAGTTCCGATGGCTGCCAGGAGGTGCCCTCAGTTCGTAGCTTTTTGATTCTGTCCCTCAGGTCTGACTGCTTGTCTGACTCTCCCTCTCCTGGGGCTCAAACAATGAGCATTCTCGGTGAAGGAGTAGGGGGGTGGGCCAGCCTCAGGAGGCTAAAAGACCATCCTATCCTGGGAGAGGGTGCAGGAAACAGGTCTCACTTTAGCCAGGCTGCCCTGCAGCTTCCTAGGCCAACCCTTCGCACCCCGGCAAAAAAGGAAAAGTTATGCCTGAACAAGCGGTGTCCAGAACTGCAGAAGGCTTGGTGGGGAAGGATGGGTGAATCTTAGCTGGATCCGAGAGAGAATTTGGAAAATAAGGTGAATGCAAAACAAAAATCCTTCCACACTGCCATCGAGGCAACTCCGACTCACAGCGACCCTCTGGGACAGGGTGGAAATGCCCCGGTGGGATTCCAAGACTGATTCTTTATGGAAGTCGAAAACCTCCGCTTTCTCCTGTGGAGAGATTGGTGCTTTGGACTGCAGACCTTGCTCTTAGCAGCCCAAGAGCATTGCCAACCCTGCTGAGCAGAGAGAGCTCTGCTCTGACACGCAACTGGTTTCGAAAGGGAATCTAGGAGATGGGTCCCAGCTCCAAGTGCTATCCAAGGGCTCCTCCCAATCCCAGTGGCACTGGGGCACGGGTGAAAAAATAAAGGCATACAGGCACCCATAGGTGTCCCACCGAGGGCCGAGCCAGTCCCAACACTGGCCCCCAAAAGGACCCCAGAGGCGAGGCGCCCCTTCCTCAAGCCTCTTGGCTGCCTCCTGCTGGGAAACCTTTGTAGATTTAAATGTGTAACCACAAGAGGAAGGGTGCCCCCTGGAGTTGTGCAGTATGCAGGCCTTCCCTCCAGAAAGGGGTCAGGGCTGGAGAAATCGCCACTCAGGAACGAGGGAGGGGCTTGGCACCTGCCCCCTACCCCCGACCCCTTGCATTTGCGTCCATAGTCCATTCTTCCCAGGGGAAGGCAGGGTGGACCAGGACCCAAGTGAGTCCTGGGGAGATGCGGGCAGCTTGGGAAGAGCCAAGTCTAGGAACCCCTTGGGGTCACCGGCCCCTTCGGTGGCCCTCGTGGAGGACCTGTCCCCCTTTCCCCGCCTCCCCCTCGGTCTCCAAGGGTTGAGGCGGAAACACCGGGCTGGAGAGGACTGCAGGGAGACTGAGCCCGCGGACCCGGGTGGCAGGACGGGTGGCTCGGGGCGATTGGGGAAGAAGCCTCCAAGGTCGGACGCGCGGGGGGGAGGGAAGGGGCAGTCCCTTCGCTTTCCCCTCTCTCCCCTCCCGAGCTCGCGTTCCGAGACGCTATCGGCGCCGCGCTCGGCTTCCAAAACTGCGCCGCCTCCTTTTTCGGCAGAAAGGGACTTTGGGATGTTGTAGCGGCGGCGGCGGGGA